TTATAGGCTAAAATATAGCCAATATCTCGTAAGGAGTGGCAATAATAGACACCATCTTTACCAATTGGCAATAGTCGCCAACAACCTTTAAAATTTCAAGATTATTACCCTAACGCAACCATTTCGACAGATAAATTACAAAATATAATCAGTATCTTTTTACGCGGTGACAACAATAACCATCGAATTTGGTCGGACATGGGTAATAACACCAAAGTTATAACAGTTGTTGGTTAATATTGCCAAATTCGTAAAGATTGTGGCTATTATTGCCACAACATACAAGATACTAACTATATTTTGCAATTAAACCTTCAAAATATTTAGATTTCCATTGATATATCCATCACCTAAAGAAATCTAGCAATCAATTAAAATCCTTTAGAAATTGGACTTCTAAATTTTAAAAGATCATCCATGTAGTTATAAATTGATTATATCTGATTTTAATAGCTAGAAACCAAGATTAAATTCCACCCTTTACATAACAAGGACACATAGATTAGTTCATTCTCACTTAACCTAACAGTTGTATCAATTTATTTCACTCACACACCCTTCAAAGATCCAAAAAAAAAAAAAAAAACATACTTGGAAGATCCCATGGATCATATTTGTAGATATCAGCCTGCTTGATGAGCTCAATACCAATAGGCTTCTTTTCGACTTTTCGCCGAAGGTAAAACCCTACAAGCTCTTCGTCTGTCGGGTGAAAACGAAAACCGGGAAGTGGGACCGTCTCGTCTTCTTCTTCTCCTCCTCCCTTCATCATGTTTTCCACTTCCATTATGGTTACTAATTTTTTTTCAAGCCTTTGGTAGAAATTTATCGGCCGCTTTTTCTGAAAATAGGGTTGGAAAGTTTCGAGGGCTTTTTTTTTTTTCTTTGCCTTTGTAAAGAAGAACAATATTTGGTTCTTAACATTTATATATACAGTTGATATATTATTTGAACCGGTATTGCACATGAGTAATATTATCTTTATAATTGTATTGGTCAAAGTCGTAAGTGTTGACTTGTTCGTATCTAATGGGGTCACCTGAGATTTTTTTTTTTTTTTTTTTAATTATTTATTATGGTTTTGGGACTTGAATTGAAGAAGTCTCTCTTGTATTTTTATTTTCATTTTCCTCTTTTGATTTACAAGAAAAAAAAAATAAATAAATCAAGAAATGGTTAATTATTTTTTATTATACATTCAAAATGAACGTACTGACATTTATGCTACTTATTAAATTAATATCAAAGATATAGGATTGTAGGTATTAAATTTCACTTTATAATATACATATTCATATTTAGGGGGTGAGCATTTTGACATTTTCAATAGTAGATTGAAAAATGTTCGAATCCGTTTAAAAAGAATTTTTCTTGGACTCAACCCACACATTAACTACTGAGTACTGATCAACATAAGCTGCATTTTTATTTTACTTTTCAAAAGGAATTAATAATAATAATAATAATAATAATAATAATAATAATAATAATATATTCAGAAAGTTCAAATCTATGCAAAAGACAAACTTTTATTTTCAAAATACAAATTATTTTAAAAATATTCCAAGGGACGGACACAACTATGCCTCAACGGGTTGGCGAGGTAGCTTCCTATGTGGATAGGGTTCGAGGGGCACTGGTCGGGACTCCAACCACGAGAATGGCTAGCGCCGGCGGGGTCATTCGAGATCACCATGAAAATTGGGTGCGTGGATTCTTGATGAACATCGGATTTTGCACAATTATCGGTAAAAAATTATAGGGGTTGTTTTAGAGACTACAATTGACTTGGGATATCGGAGCCCGAAAAATTAAAGTGGAGGTCGACACCAGAGCATCGTTGCTATGATAAAGGAGAAGACCAATAGCGGGCCGCATGAAAGTATTGGGGATTCAAGAACTTTCGGGTCGTCATTGGTCGGTGGAGGTTATTCATTGATATCGAAACACCAACTTTGTTACGGACTATTTGGCTTCTTTGGCAGCGAAAGGGCCGGGTGGTCTTCATCGACTTGAGCACCCACCGCCGGGGGCGGACATATGGTTAACTCACGATAGTGTTGACGTGTCCTATTCTCGAAATGTTGTCAAATAGTTTTTTTTTTTTTTTTTTAATACATAGAATTCCATTGATATATCATATCCATCAATCATCTAATGAAATCTAGCTAGCAATTAAAACACAAGAACCATACGAGAATGGAAACAAAATCACAAGTCAAACAATTTTTTCTTGATTTGGACTTCAGGAATTTATGTTGAATTTTTCTCTATAAGCAAAACAATCTTGAATTTTTTAAATAAATAATTTCAAATATTTAGTTTGTTTTATTTTTGAAAACAATAGAATTCATATAATTACGACAAAATCAGCTAGATAGTCGAATGAGTCAGCTAAGTAGCCTACAAAACAACCCAACACATAAAAAAACAAAAATATTTACTTAGTTACAACCGCAATTTTTAGGCTAAATTGTAAAATATAATCAATATTTTGTACGCGGTGACAATAATAGCTACCATCATTACGAATTTGCAATAGTAGCCAACAATCCTTTAAATTTCGGAGTTATTACCCAAATTTGGCCAATTTGACGGCTAAATTACAAAATGTAGCCAATATTCTTTTACATTGTGGCAATAATAGTTGTCGAACCTCAAATTTTTAAAACTTATTAGCTGTTGTTGCCAATTCATAAAAATAGTGGCTATTATTACCACTACACACAACATATTGACTGTATTTTACAATTAAACCCAATTTATATAATTTTTATTGTCGAAAATATTATTCAGTCCTTAATTTCTCTTGGTCAATTTGTTTGTGCGGGAGGCTTCTAGAGTTCTTGAAATAAAAGATATCATGGATAGTTAATTCTTGTTTTTTTTTTTAACAATTAATATAAGACAAAATATTTATAATAAGGTCCATTTTTCTGAGTTGGTGCAAACTAAGTACAAAATTTCAATAAACCTGATAATCCAAATCTTTGATTTTGGGACACAATAACCTTCACATGTTGAGAGTTATAAATAAATATTATCAACACCAAATATCAACCATCAATAATTTGCAAATTAATTCCACGCCTCAATCTATAGATTCCATATATATTAGTAAAATATAATTTTACTTATCTCCCATTCTCCATATGTCAATAAATGTAACAGTATCAAAATAGTAAGATTCCACCACATATGACAAATATATTTTTACATATCTTCACATGCCAATAAATTACAGTACCAAATAGTAATATAGTTTGAGAAATGTTCGCATTTTTTTATTTTTTAATATATATTCTATAAAAGAGATACATAATTACATTTAGTCCACAATCACAAGTAGTCAAACAGATAATACAGTGGGGGACGTTTACTTCGGGGGATATGTAAAATAATCCCTGCTATCCTATGTTTACTGGACAATATTTAGATGATGTGGCGCACATGTGGCTGTGGATCCCGCACACATATCAACCAATTTCTGATTAATTCTGTCCCAGGGTGACCTCGGGATATTTTTATCCCGACTTTTAGTTGACCATTTTACTCTCAAAATTGCTTGAGAAAAGACTTAAATACTCTTGAACATCCATTTAATTACAACAACTATTTAAAAATTAAAACCTCACTTGCCCTAGCCTGTGTTGAGTTCGAAATTGAAGAAGGGGGTGGGGCTCAATGTAGTTGCAGGTATAAAAATTGATAACAGGGTTACATCTAGAAACCCATTTTGTGCAAACAAAAAAAAAAGGGGGTAGAAAAGGAAGAGATTGATGGCGATGAGAAGAGACCAGAAGCGTTTGTGTGTGTTTATAATGTTAAAGATGCAATTGTATGAAGTTTTCTTTTTACCCTTTTTCTTTTGTTTTTTTCTAACAAATTCTTGATCACAAGTGGCAGTGATTCTTCTTGTCCTCGCTCACTCCTCGTAGAATTAGGGCTCTCCATTGAAGAAAGAAAAACGAGATGTGAGAAAATTAAATCGGGGAAGACAAAGGGTAAAGTGGTATTTTATTGTGTTATCATCTTATTTAATCTAGTGAAGTAAATGAAGGATTCATTTCTCAAAATTCCATCCAATTGCTGACATGTATAGTTGCCATGATTATTTTAGCTTATCCCATCACAGAAAGTAAACGGGCCTGAGAGGATTACACAAAGACACACTCACAAAACAACAAACTACACAATTCCCACAAATTGGAATACAAACTCCTAAATAGTAAATAAACACCAAAGCAAACACAAAGACCCACAAAACCTAAAACAAGAAAATCACTACACAAAATAATAATAATAATAATAATAATAATAATAATAATAATAATAATAATAATAATAATAAAATGAAAGTAAAGCCCTCCCCAACAACGACAAGATTAGGGCCGCTCAATGGGTTGAAATCGAATTTCGGTTAATCGAAAATTCGATTTATCCATTATAAACCGAAAACTTAACCAAAATTTATAGTTCAGTTCGGTTTTTAACTGAAAATCCAACGGTCGATTTGGTTCTGATTGTAATGAATAATTAACTTTCTCAATAAATTCTGAATTATTAATCGAACCAAAAAGTTTGATTTTATCACCTTGTTTAATGAGAAAAGTATTCAATTAAATAATCTACTTCGCCACTGTCCTTCGTGTCCCTCCCGTCTCTGGTGTTGGGCAGAGGTGCTGGCCATAAAAACTGGGCCGTGGCTGGTTTCTATGGTCAGGGTCAGTTTGCCAGTTTTTTGGGTGGTATACTGTGTGGGTCTCCAGGCGCAGGCCTCAGATCCGTCTAGTTGTGGTTTGGGTTCGATGGCGTTTGACCCAGTTAGGCGTTTGTTTGGTAGTTTCTGGTTTGGGTTTGTGGGCCTTAGCTATGGCCGTGTGGTCGGTTATCGGTTGGCGTCTCCATTGGTTGGCTTGGTTGGTTGCCAACTGCGGAAGGGTGGTGTAGTTTGCTGTTTTTTGTTTTAGGTGTTAGGAGTTGTGTTTGCGTGTAGGTTGTGTTTTTATTCTCTCTCTTCCA